TTGGTCGCGTATACGGACAGGACATGGCTGCGACAGGCTTCCCAAATCCACCTTCACTTTTATAGCCGTGGTCTCTCATCTTGATTACACGAAGTAATTTACAATTACTACTCTGAAATATGAATTACATCTGTAATAATCACATACATGTAATAGAATGTTAATAGTTCATTTCCCTTTTTTAGGAAATGACCTGTATGTATCTGTGTGACATCAATAAAAGGATCAAGTGCTGCATTACCTTTAGTTACATTGATAATATTTATTTATGGTGAAACAGTGGAAAAATATCGCTGTTGCTTTCGTATAAATGAAGCGGACATACCTGCGTGGCCGCGATCTAATCCTGTTTACATAAAGTAAACCTGCTCCCGAGCAGGTTTACGCTTACGGCTCTGTTGCTATGACAGCAAGTCCCGGATGAGCTTCGGGGAACCGACTGATCCAGGATCACGCGAAATCGTCAACAATCTAATCCGGCTAACCTACTTAGCGAGGTACGAAGAACGGGCCCCTGATGAGGTAGTTCTGTGTTGTGCTTAGCCAGAGGGTGATTGGTTTCTCTGATAAATAACTCATTGTAATGTCCATGGCACTTAACAACATAGATTATATTACTCTTTGTTGGGGGAACTAAATCTTGGGGTCTACCAATTTTCAGTGTAGCACAATTTGGTGTTTGAAAACAACAGTGACAGTGTTTTGAGAAAATGTGTCTCACCTGTTCTGATATTAAGGGATTAGTGAAGGTTTTCATTTAGGAATTGGTTGTCCTTTTCTCTGGTATCACTTTGACCATATTTAAGGTACTTTCCAACTTTTGACAAATATCCAGCTAGGGTAACCACATTTACTCAGGGCTTTTCGTTATGATGTTCTTCTGTGGCATGTCTGTGTCTGTGGGGATGATGTTAGCTCTGTGTTGTAGTGCCCTAGTGATATCTAGTTTTTGCTCCAGTGGATGATTAGAGTCAAACCTTAGTGATCCCTATGCAGTGGTTTACTGTTGACTATAAAACTGAAGAAAGCTAACCTATTATTTTTCATATCCTCCTGGGTGAACTTGCTGTGTTTGTCCACCAAGTTAATGTGATCACTGAGATTTGATTTTCACCCAGGTGTCCTAAGAGTACGTCGTTCACAATCACAGAATCCAGTGATTGCAGCCAACTCTCTGTGAATGGTACTCATGGCCACTAATCAACAGTCATGACAATTTGCATTTTAAAGATCATGAAACTGATCATGAAACTGAGCTTGTTAGGCAATAGTGCTAGTTCTGGTTATAATGTAAATGTACTGTTTAAAATGTTGGGGAAACCTGCAGTCACTGAGACTGAAGAATTTACTTGGACCAGAGACAAAACATTTCTCCTATTCCAAACGCTACATTCAGATGACCATATTCAACTTTGGGATTCTTTATATAAATGATTAACCGTGCACAAAGGCAAATTGCTCTGACATGCAATAAAACAATGAATAAACATCTCAAAATTGAATGGGTAACACAAAGGTAAACCTCAAAAGCAAAAAACAACATAAATTATTAATACTGTGTATTTCACCCCAAGATGTCACAATGTAATAAACTGATTAAACCAAAAAGATCATGTTGTAAGCTATTAAGACTCCTGTCAGTGATTCAAACTTAATAAATAAAGGAAATACATTCACAACCAGTAGGATACATTTTGTTTGCTTGTTCATTTGTTCTCAGACTACACGGTTTTTGATCTAGGGGTCACTCACAACTAGGCCAAGGATGTTGTTACCATGGCAACTAAACCAGAAAGAACAGGACCAAAAAAGGTGCAAGAAAAGTATGTTCAGCTCTAGGAATCCCTCAGATATACTGCCTACACGATTACTCAAAGGACTTTGACCCAGTCTTTCTTTGCTAATTTATGGTGCAGATGATAAGTTTAGACAAGGAAAACGAATTAGGAGTAATGTGATCAATAGTTCAGCCCCGTGAGCTTGTTTGACTTGCTCATTGCTCAGTAACTAGCCTTTGACCCAGCTGGTCCTATTTATTTACACACACAGTGTACACACATGAGAACATCCCTTAGATTCAGGTGAATAATTTATCTCCTCAGTGGTGATAAGTTAATCACAAAAATCCAAATCCAACCATGGCTTTTAAAGTATATACATAAAACAACAACCTAAAAGATACTGCTCAAAGAAAATGAAAAGAAAGTCCATAGGTAATAACCAGTAAATGTTATGCTAAAGCTTTAAAATGCTGTATGACTTCATGATTACTCGCCTCTAGGGAAAGAAGCTTGTACAAATAGTAATTTTTAGATTACTACCCTGTGCATGGTCACACACTTGCACCCCAAAATACTACAAAGATTGAAAGACTGAAAAATAAACTCCCAAGTTTCGTATCTGCAAAGCCTTAGAATGATTAGCTAAGTAACGGGCCTCAGCATGAGCAATCTCTAGAAGAACCCAGTCGGATGAATGCCCGTGCTCTGTGTCTATAATGCTCAAACACATCTGTCTGGAATGGCAACAATTACCAGATGTGGTGAATAAAAAGAAAAACTGCACAGTAATGACTGCTGGCGAGCAACAATCGTCGAGGAGCCAAGATCTTAAAGTTAGGCCACAGGGCATAGATTACTGCCTGGGTTTCGTAATGGACGTCGGTACCATGCACAGCAGAACAGAAAACAAGACGAAGATGAAGGCGTTTGATTTCCGAAATTATGACAGCACCGCTTTGGAAAATGCACATAAGGATTGTGTTTTTTTGTTACACGCTCAACTGACTGCATTCCCAGCAAAAAAAAAAAGCTCCAGTGTGCGCCATCATCACCGTGACGGCGTCACCGTCTCCCACAACACAAGACAGTCGACGAGCAAACTGGCAATAGATGCCAAACATGATGATCGCATCATCACTTATTTAACTATTTTAGCGTAGTTGTGGCTAACATTGAGTGAGACAGACAATGAGTGTCATGTACACACACATTGTAGGTGCGGTTATTGTGTCTTTTGATCCACAACCACCAACTAGCTTTAGCAGCAAGCTAGCTACCAAAAACAGGCCGCCGTGCAAGAGAATGGTCTCAGTGGGCGCCGGTCATCAGTGCGCTCCCTTAGGCCTTTCCGCCGCTGTTACCGTTTCTTTTGCAGGTTATTCATTCGGTTTACACAGACAACATGACTGGCACAACAACGTTTTAAACAAGAGCCTTTACCTGTGTTTCTCAGGTTGCTAGGGCGCGCGGGATCTTTCTTTCCGAGGAACCTGAACACCTCTCGTTGTTGATGACGTCACGCGTAGGTCTTTGGATGAGGACGTAGAGAGCGCGTCACAAATGTCGCGGACTGCAACTTCAGCGTCAAATGAGGAGCTCTCGTCTGTTGTCTTCTTACCCTGTGCAGATGGCATTCATAACGTTTGTTTTTCCGGCAAGTAAGTTGCCGGAAAACTTGTTGCCCAATACAGCAACAGTCTGTTATTATATTGATTTAAACAAACGAAAAGATCTTTCTAACAAAGTTAGAAAGTTAATTCAAAGTCTCATTTAAGCGGATCCATAGATTCTGTCCAGTTAACAATTTCTTTCAAAAATTAAAGAATGAAAATCTCGTGAAACGTGTTCCTTGGTCTTGTTATTTTTACATAAGGGTTCTGGAAAGGTGTATAATGTTATAATTTTTTTTTTAATGTTTCATATGGTATTCTCTTTTCTATAGTAATTTTATATTTGCCCGCTATGATTATTGAGACAAACATGTTGCTGACCTCTTGATTTGTTCCACACTGACAAAAGAAGATTTTCTTTTTTTAAAATTACTATTATTGATATTTTATTATCTTGATCTAACTCAGTTATTTGTTTGTATTTTTTATTTTTTTTTTTGCATCACCTTTCTTGGTTACTTAAAAGTTTAAAAAGCGGCAACTTTGCATTCAAGTGAAGGGATGAAACTGCAATTAAATGTTACTGAAATATTTCTTCTATTTTTTTCTCCTCCTTCTGTAACTGTGATCGATTTGTATGTATTTACAACACATAGCTATTCTGTTACCTTTCTCAGTTTCTTCAAGATTCGAAATAAAGCTTTGGGGAAAAGAAGGCATCAACTGAGTTTTTGCATTTGAAGGAATATATTGGTGAGTTTAGACACTTTTTAGGGGTGCTCAAGCATTTAAAAGGACCTCTGTCCCTTTTCTCATACAAAATGAGGGAGAGCAAAAAATAAACAGGTAAGAGTATAAGTGCACGGTGGCGCAGTGATTAGCGCTGTTGCCTGACAAGGAGGTACTGAGTTTGATTGTATCATCAGGCCAGGGCCTTTCTGTATGGAGTTTGCATGTTTTCCCTGTGTTTGCGTGGGTTCTCTCCGGGCACTCAGGCTTCCCACATTCCAAAGACATGCAGTTAGTGGGGTTAGGTTAATTGGTAATTCTAAATTGTCCATAGAATGGTTGTCTGTGTTATCCCTGTGGCAGACTGGCGACCTGTCCGGGGTGTACCGTCCCCCTCCCCCTATGGTAGCTGGGACAGGTGATGAAGGAATACATCACGTTAAGGACTGAAGCTATAATAAACATAACTATACCAAAGTATGGTGCTTAGCGTGCACTCGTTGGTTCTGAAATTACTTAAAAGATTATATCAAAGTTACAGAATTGCAGTCACCATTCAGGTCGGACCAAATAAAGTTATCTGAAATATCCGCTTGCAAATATTACTCAGAAAGGACCGATCAACTACATTTGGACAGAATCGGTGGTTTTGGAGCCCCTCTGTGGACAACCTCGGTTTATAATGCCATAATCCAAACATTAGTGCGATGTAAAAGTGTTTGTCTGAAACAAATTTGATTTGATCGAGGAGCCAAAATGTGTACTGTGTAGTATATTGCAGCAGATTTAGTGACACATTCAATTTTTATCTATTAAAAATCTTTTCTCACAACCACCAACGCATGCGCCATAGTTTTCTTGCGCTAGACGTAACCCGGAAGTAGTTTGAAGGTCTTTGCTTATAGTAGGAGTTTGGATAAGGTTGCTTGTTCACTGTGAAAATGGGTGTTAAAATAGAGGTATTTCGAGTAAGTATTTATTTTATACTAAGGCCGTGGACATGTATATTTTCCCTACATTCTGAGACCTTTCGACTTTCTAGGGTTTAGTTTTCGCTCTAGTTAGCCATTTTCATTATGCTAGCAGAGGTACAGTTTTCTACTCTATGTTAAAAACCGATGCGTGTAATTTGTTTTGCACAGATGATGCTGTATCTCTCCTTTCCTGTGACCATGTTTTGGATCTCAAATCAAGCAGAGTACTTTGAAGAGTATATAGTGAAGAGAAAGGTTAGAAATTTATTTTATGTATCGGTCTTCTCTAGATAATTATTCTTGTAGTAACAATTTTTGCATCTTTCTCTGTGCCATGTTGTCTATTTTTGTGGTATACAGAGGGAAATCTTCCCCCCCGACGAGGAATCGCAGGTAAGAAAAATGCACACAAGTTAGTTGCGATCAACACAAATCAAGGGTTGTATTTTTCTTATCTGCATTGAGTACCTTTAGGAATCACTCACAGTGCAGGCTGGAAAAAACGACGTTAATTGTTGAATTTAGTAACTTGTAGAACCTCAGTGGCGAAAAAACCCCATCTTGTATTGATGTCCGTGCGTATTTTGCTGTGCCTCTGTGGGTTTTTTCACTTCTATCAGGTTTGTATGTTGTGATCTTTGACCAAGACCCACTGTTAGAATGAACTGGAATCCAGAATTTGTATGGAGTGTGTATTGGCTGGCAAATACCCTCTTCTTAAGGAATGCTTTGTAGTCTTTCCCAGCTTTGTGTATCTGTAAAGTTTTTTCTAGGACCCTGTGAAAGGTTTTATCATCAAGTCACACCAACCAGTCCTTCTCGAGAAGGGAAAGGCTTTGTCAGTAATTAGACTTTGTGCTTTTATTTATAAGGAGGAGTATCTCAATAATGCCATAAACACATGTACTCTAGCGCAGACATTCAAATATTTTATTTCCAGCATGGACTAATGATGACTCGGTGTGTTTAATAAAGACATGAAATGTGTTTCTCTTCCTAGTCAAATCTGTATTCATCAATAGTTGTGACTTAGATGAAGAGCAAACAAAATAACTTTGGGCATTGTTTAAAATCTAAATAAAATTGAATAGAATAATTTGCAGATTTCAAAACCATATTTTATTTACAGTAGAACATAGAAAACTGTCAAATATTTAAACTGAAATGTTTTACTGTTTCATGAAAAATATTAGCTTATTTTGAATTTAATGGCAGCAACATGCCATTAAATTCAAAAGGTAAGTGGTAATAAAAAGAAGCAGGTGGAGGAACATTTTGCAACCAGTTTGGTAAATTGGCAAAAGGTGAATAACATGATGTGTGTGTGTGCTGTGTGTAAACATAAAAAAAGACATTTTAAAAAGGGAGGTAAAGATGGGCAGAGTTTCACTAATCTTCAAAAAACTGCATTTAAAATTTGTGGATCAATAATGTTGAAATAATCGTCCTTAATTTAGAATTGAAAAGACTTTGTCATATTTAGTACATAATATCACCAAAAGTGTCAAAGAATCTGGAGAAATCTCTGTGAACAAGGGACATTGGCAGAAATCAGTCTTGGATGCTCATGATCTCCAGGCCATGAGGTGGGACTGTGTTAAAAATAGGGAGGATTCTGACATGAAAATTGCTGCAAAGGCTCATGAATACAGTTCACCACACCATTCATAATTGCATGTTAAAGTGCTATATTGCAAAGAAGAAGCAACTTGATCCAGAAACACTGCTGTCTTCTCTGAGTCAATCCTTATTTAAAATGAACTTGAGCAAAGTGGAAAACTGTTATGTGGTGGAACAAATTGAAATTTGAAATTCTTTTTTGGAAAACATGGACACAATGTTCTTTGTTATTAGGAGGAGAGGAGCTATCCAGCTTTTTATCACTGCTCAGTTCAAAAACCTTTATCTCTAATGGTTCAGGGGTGCATTAATGAAAACATTTGGCACGGCATCAACCAAAAACATATGACAGACAGGACTGTTGAGCAGCTAGAATCTTATATCATCCCATAACATAGCAGTCTTCTAAAAAATTTGAATACCTATTGTCCTCAGTTCCCAGATGTTTATGGACTGTTCATAAAAGAATAGGGGAGTTGTAAATTTTGACTTGTCTGTCAATAGCTCAATGTCTTTGACCTGTTCAAAAAGAACAGTATTTTCATAAAGACTGCTGAGTTACTGCTAAACAGCACATTATTTGATTATGGTTGTTCTATATATCTGTTTTCAGAGAAAAGAGTTGGAGGACTTCAAAGAGCGAATGCGTGTTCGTAAGGAGCAGCGGCTATTAAAAAATATTCCTCTAGAATCTGAGAACTGAAAATTACATGTTGAAGAAAATGATTTTCCACCCTTTACCAATGATACCAACTGTCTGGCAGTGATTTTGAGGCCCAAGGAAAAAAGTTGGACTGGAGTATGCCCATTTCATGTTGGAAATTTCTGCTAGATTAACTCTTCCCAAAGATGCGCTGGGTAATAATTATTTATGCCTAATAAGTTTATTGTGCTTTCATTTGTGTGCAACTTTTTTTTCCCCCACATGGTTTTTCAAATGGTACAATTGTTTTCTTAGCTGTTGTTTTTACATTGCCTTAAAATAAATACTGAGCTGCACATCAGATTGAATCTAGTTTATTATTATCTATTTGCAAGGTGCAGTGCCTAAATTGTTTTTACCTTGTCCTATTACTTATATTGTAGTGTATTGCAGCATTGTATTCTAGATAATGGTGCTTCAGATTAACAGAAATAAAAACTAACTATTAATCAGTTCTCCACAAACTCCTCTAAAATAATTAACAGAATAAACCAATTGTTTTCCAGTTAGCACAACTTGATGTGCTTTCTGTTTGAATGAATGATGCTAGTTGGGTATTTTTAATAATGATGATTAACTTATGTCATATTTTGTAAGTGCATTTTCCATGTATCACTGTGGGGAAGAATTTGCTTGATTATTTGATTATTCATATACTTAGCAAACCATATAATTATGTTTTTTTTAAATGTTTTATTTATTAAAGCAAAAGCTTTTATTTACTGAATGAACGACAGTGATGTTATATGAAAGTGCATCTCATATTATGCAAAACGTAGGACATGTTTTAAACAAAATTACACTAATAATGGCTAATAACTGCTTCATTTGCAACACTTAGAGTTTGTACACCTTCAGTAAAGGCTTGATACTCTACTAAACCATATCTCCTTGAATGAATGTGCTGCCCAACTTTTCATACTACTTGTTTTAAGAGGTGAGACTTGTTCCCACATCCTGAAGATTTGAAATCATTAATCATTTTGAAGGAGTCGTACCAAATGGAAATATAATCTTCTAAGTATAAATATTTACATCTGAGAGAGCCAACAGCTAAACTTTTTATCAATGGTGTTGAAGTGCTGACAGATTTTCCACTTGGCTTGTCAGCTCATATCCTCAAATATATTTGGCAGTACAATACAGCCAGCTGGATCCCTCATGGCTGTCTCCTGGGCCACTGGTGAGAGAGAGTGTGAATTTCTTTCTTACTACTGTTTATCTTTTACAACTGTCATTCACTTCTGAAGCCATATTTAAGCTCTCTGTTTTATGATGTAACAAGCAGGTAAGTGCTATTCATTTTATGATAATAGATGTAAATGACAGAAGCCAAGCGGTGATATATGGATGTAGCCTACACTTGAACCAATCAAAACGACCATAGAAAGGCTTACTAATTTCATTGTGTCCAGTTGTTTAAGGCGAAAATAACTCATTAATGCAGTCTAGGATACTTCTACATGTTTGTTATTTAAATCAAAAACTTAAATAATAATAATAATAATAAACTTTATTTATAAAGCACACTAAAAAACCAAGGGTATACCAAGGTGCTTGACAAAAATAAAATAGGAAAAGGGAGATGGGAGGGAAAAGAGAAAGGACCTGGCACGTATCAATTATAAAAACCTTGACAATCATAAGATATAAAAGTAGTTCACAAGCATAACGGATAAAAATGTACCAACGCACACCAAGCGTTAACTAGGTGGAAAGGCAAGATTAAACAAATAAGTCTTCAGCCGTAATTTAAACAGTGGCATAGAGTCAGAGGCCCGAATAGCAACAGGAAGGTTGTTCCATAAGACCGGGGCAAATAAAAAGTCCAAAGCACGAGACTCTTGTAATGGTGATATATTTGACAGTAGGGGGCAGTATTTAGCTTTCAAATGCTTCGAAGCTTTGCTTAGACCACAAGGAAGTGATCAACTCTCTAGAACACTGCTGTCAAGATGGCACCGATTGGGCTGAAAGCTGTAGTCGGAGAAAGTAAGTGACGTATTTATTGTATCTAATCTCACTGTAGCAGTTTATTACAGTTAAAAAAAAGTACTTTATTGTAACCTTTATCGCTGTAACTTGATGAACTGACGTTCAATTTATTAAAAAAAATCGTGTTGTGGATGACGGTTCACCAACTCTTCCTGCTTCACTCCTAATATATATGCTAACGTTGCCGAAGGAACCGATGTCATCATTTAAAAAGTCATATATATATAAAATAATAGTGTTACACGTAGTGATAGCAGTATTTGCTTAATTTGCTGAAGTTTCATGTGTTTTGTGACATTAGCCACACTTGAAAGTTAAAAGTCGCGACGTTAGGGATTGAAAATGTTGTGACAGTCCAAGTTATAGGCTAACCCAGGCTAGCTAATCTGAAAGGGAAGTCTAGTAACTTCGCTTGTGATCTGTTAAATCATCCTGGACATTTAGGCTGTAAAACGTCAGGAAGTCACAACTTTTGTTACACAATAACTTGTAGTACATTGCGTTGAAAGTAAAAAAAACAAAAAACAAAACCAAAAACGCATGCCGGGGTTAAAACATTACGTATTCACAAGGCTCATCTAGTAATGCTTATTTGTAATTATATGCTAATTGCTTCTGCTAGACTTTAGAAGCATTAAATTTGGGCTTATGTTCCTTCATCTCACATTTTCACTTCTTTTAAGAAGTCTGAAAAATAAAAAACAAACATACCATTACAAAGCGGTATGATTTGTAATTTACTATCTGCTATTATTAGCTGAAAACGTTGTCCATACAAGATGACTTAACCTATTTGGAGTATGCCAAAAATATCAAATAAAATCTCATATTCAATATTGTATTTAGAGCAGTGAGACAATAAATCCCAATAAGGAAGTTTCCTTGCAAACTGTTTTTTTTTATATTTATTTTTTTTTTTAGATTTAACAAAACTCTTCGAAAGTATAATCTTTTCCAGTTCCCTGTATGAGCGACCTGGAAAATCATTAGTTAGTGATGAAGGTCACACTTGGTGCAAAAAAAGAAATCTTTTTTTTTTTTTTTTTTTTTCCCATTTCTTTCTCTCAAAAGCCCTGAACCATAATACACATATATTCAGTAGCCACCATAATACCAGGAACCTTACCAGGATTTATACAGCAATCATAAAATAGTGATTACAGTGATGGCTAACTCGGAATAAAGAACACTTTTTTTTTTATGAACTCCCATAACAAGCTATTTATGTCAGCTATTACTGTGAAAACAGTGAGTCATATGTCTTAGGGAGCAGAATCTATGTTTTTAATCAGGTTCAAATCGTGGTTTAACAAGGAAGTGAAGACATCATATTGGTGCAGTTCAACTTTTGATGTTTCCTACCACACTGCTTTCTTCTGTACCCTAGTTAATTATTGTGTGATTCAATGAAAACTTCTTTTGGGAACAGTGGCCCACTGCAGGAGACTATTTGGCTGTTTGTTTTAACACACGTACCACACCTTAGCTGTTGTGCTTAGGACGTCAGTGGAACAATTGTGCTTCTGTCTATATAAGACCAGGAAGTTGCACCCAAGCAAGTTTGTTACTGCAAGTGTTAAATATGTTTAAAAAGGGTTCCTGTTTTTTTTAATTTTTGACAGTAGAGCTGACCTTTGACTTTTGTTGTTGTTTTATAAGTCACACAAATTCTTTGGAAACTATTCAGTAAGCTACATTTCATGAAAAGCTCAAATTACTAATGAATGCTGCAACAACAATCTAGAGCATTTTGACTATATGAATGTTTCATAAAGTATTTTTTTATTATTATTGTTGCTAAATTTACTCCACTTGTGACCCGTTTTAGCTTGTTTTTGTTATGAGGTTATGGGTTCTTGCATCACAAAATTATCTTTTCATCTACAGAAATCATCAGTGGTGTGATCAAGAGTGTGAAAAAGGATGGAGAATGGAAGGTAACGGTAGATACAAAAGAAGAAATTCTTTTGATTTTTGTTGCACTGAATTTATTACCACTGTGTGGCCTTTGTTTAGGTTCTTATTGTGGATCACATGACCACAAGAATTCTGTCCTCTTGTTGCAAGATGTCTGACATTTTGGCGGAGGGGGTGACCAGTAAGTATGGATATAATTCATAGTTTTTAGTTTAGTTTTTTAAATAAATGAGAGATCAAACCTTTAGCTGTTGAAGAGTAAAATGTGCCAACTTAATTCATTTTCTGCGTTTAAATGACATTAAATTATCATATTGTCTTTTCTGTTTTTCAGTTGTGGAGGACATCAATAAACGCAGAGAACCCATCTCCAGTTTGGAGGCCATTTATTTAATCACCCCATCTGCAAAGGTTCAAAAGAGTTCCGTCTTTTAATGTTGCCATATCTTCAAGATTGTTCTCATGTGCATAATATTTTAAAGATAACTATGTGCATAATATTTTAAAGATAACTATGTGCATAATATTTTAAAGATGAATATGTTTTCAATTACAGTCGGTTCATGGTCTCATTGATGATTTCAAAGATGCAGCCTTTACATACAAGGCAGCACACATCTTCTTCACTGACAGTAAGAGTGGAACTATAAATATGAGAAATGTATTTTTTTTTCCAGACTTCAGTGTAAAACGCTAAAACTGACATTAATTCTTTTTTTTTTTTTTTTGCCTTGTTTAGCTTGTCCAGATCCTCTCTTTGCTGATATTGGAAGAGCCAAAGTTTCAAAATTTATCAAGACTTTAAAAGAGATCAATGTTGCTTTTCTTCCATATGAGTCGCAGGTGGGTAAAATTCTTATATTTCATTGAGTCCAAATTGTCTTTGGACATTTCATTAGAAATGTTTTTGGTTTTGGACAAAACTTATTTGACAGTTAATCATGTAATTGTATGGCAAAAAGACAAACGTTTTCCCGAGCTGCAATCAGTTATAGTAATATTGTCTGTCGGTTTATTGTGACAGGCAATACCTTTCACAGTTTCTCTTGTCCCCGTAGGTTTTCTCACTGGATGACCCAAAATCCTTGTACTCCTTCTACAGTTCAAAGGCAAATGAAACAAGAGATAAAATGATGGAAAATGTGGCAGAGCAGATTGCGACCCTGTGTGACACTCTCAAAGAGTACCCTGCAGTTCGTTATCGCAAGTATGGGCCCCTTCATGAGAAGAGAGATAGATTTAAACAAATAAATCTTTTCCCACTGAATGTATTATGCTGATTTTAAAGTTGTATTCTACTTTGTTTTTAGGGGACCTGAGGAAAATGCTAGACTGGCTGAAGAGGTCTATCAGCGCCTCATTGCTCACAAAGCTGAAAACCCAACCATGGGAGAGGTAGGAAATACTTTGGTCTTCAACCACTCGATTTCTCACATTCTCTGCTGTGTAATTTCAAATCTTAAAAAAATGGTGAACAAAATGTTTACACTGCTTTTCTTTCCTGCTAAATCATCTTTCTCATGTAAGAGAATAAACCTCTGTTGGGATTCTGCAGCTCTTCAGCTTAACAGGTTGTGAATATTTCTTTGGTTTCTGGGATTTATTTCCTGATGGTTATTTTCTCATACTTTGCTGGACCTGTCCTTTTTTCCCTTCTTTTCTGTTTTTCTTAGCTGACATTTCCTTGCTCCTGAGATGAGTCTTAAAGGCATGTATTACTGTTCCCTTTTTGCATCTATGCATGTCAGGTGCTTTATCATACTATGCTGTACGTATTTCTTTTTTTTCTTTTTTCTACATCTAGCTGTGATGCTAAATTATAATAATTGATAATTAATTGATTTCATTGCATGGCATTGCAACAGTTAATGTGTACTTTCAGCCAGTCTCTTTTAATGAATCTTTAAATTAAATCATATATTTCAAAAGTACTGGATGATATCCTTAATTTGTATTATTTTTAGGGTCCAGATAAGGCGCGATCACAGCTAATCATTGTTGACCGTGGGTTTGATCCCGTCTCACCTGTTCTTCATGAGTTGACCTTCCAAGCAATGGCTTATGATTTGCTAGACATCAAACAGGACATCTATACGTAAGGGACTACCTTTATATTTTTATATTGCTCTGTCTGTTTGGTGTGGTGTCTTTGGTATACCAGTCCCTCCATTTGTGGACTTTTAAACATTTTTTTTAATTTATTTTTGGATATTAAAGTTATCAGACAACCGGCATTGGGAACTCAAAAGAGAAAGACGTCTTACTGGATGAAGATGATGAACTCTGGGTTCAGCTCAGACACATGCACATCGCTGATGTCACCAAGTATGTTTGTCACAGTAACATTTCTACGACTGCTACAACTTGATTGTGGAGTCATTGTAATTCAGTCAAAGTTTTCCTGCGTTAGGTGTCTACTAATTTTCTCATTTGATTCTTGTAGGAAGGTGACAGAGCTTCTTCGCACATTTTGTGAGAGCAAGAGGATGTGCACTGACAATGTGAGTGTTATGTGCATTATCTTTTCAGGTGTTTGAAAAGTCCACGGTAGACCATGAGTATTGTTTTTGTGTTATGATGGAACTTTGGGGAAAATGTTTCTCTTTTCAGGCCAATATCAAAGATCTGTCTCAGATGTTAAAGAAGATGCCACAGTATCAGAAGGAGCTGAGCATGGTGAGTTACATTAACTAACAAACAAACCCTTATGTAACTTCTTATCATTATTTGTTTGTTTTAATTTATCTAATCCAAAAGCGCTGTCTGTTCAGTTTATTTAGACCTTTACTTAAAAATAGGGAAATGTTTTTGAAGCATATTAGGATACATTTGTGATGATAAATTAGATACAATTTAGACCATGGTTGTTTTGCCCAATTAAGCATTAGCTGGGCCAGCTAAAGTTTAGTTGGCCCAAATTCTAGTTATAATCTGACCATTATGACAAGACTTCCTAGAAAACGTTTTTTTCTTATATCAGAGTTGTCAGTCTTAATTATGTTTAATTTTTTTTAATAAAAATATGATGCCATATGTTAAAGTAATTAGTAATGTATTTTAATGTAATTTTTTTTACAGTACTCCACTCACTTACACCTAGCTGAAGCTTGTATGAAGAAATTCAAGGCCTCACTTGATAAACTTTGTGAAGTGGAGCAGGTTAGTAGCCTTGTGCACAACATAATTTTTTGTAATAAAATGTTTGACTTGCAGCAGTCACCATAGTGTTTTTTTTTTTTGTTTTGTTTGGTTTTTTTTGTTGGTAAATTACACTTTGAAAGTCCAGTTCAGTTTTTGGCTTTTGTTATCATGTATGTCTACTTAAAAAATGTAATCAAAATTATTATCTTTGAGGACTATTGAACCTAATAGTTTTCAAATATTAATTATAATGCAATAAAAGTCTATTAGGTTGTCACATTTCTGCCACATATGGTCAAATAGCACAATGCAATACACTGACACAGACTGTCTAAACAAAATGCCTGACATGGAATAACTACATTGACTCATCACATTCAGTGACCTGAAATGTATCTTTGTAATTCCTGTGCTTCTTTGCTTCTGGTCTGTTGATATTTTTATTTGTTAACAAAAAAATAATAATATTTCATAAAACGCTTTAAACTACACATCAGCAGCGTAAATCATCGTAGATCTGTGAGCTTACTGTAAGCTTAAAGGCATGTAATAACACAGATGTACCACTTGGTACAGTAGAAGTTCTTCCACCAGCAAGACCTGGGAAAAAAGCCACAATCCAAACTGGAGCCAAACCCCAGTGTTTTAGTTATATGTGCCAGACATGCCTTGTGTTCCTGAGGGGAAATGTTTGGCCATATCTAGTCCAGTATCAGATGAGTGACAAGCACATGAGAAATGATAAGCTATGCATGGCTGTGGCATTATGAGGTGCAAGTGTTAATGGGGCCTTTTTTATGAGTAAATCGCTCAACTGCCCTAATGGATTGTCAGCATGTCTGAAAGCTGTCTCTTTAATCCATTGGGCATGCTTTGGCTCTTAAGATGTGCAGTATGATCCAAATGGCAACAGCTCTCTGTCAGCTGTCATTTGTTCTACATTGTTTGGAAGCCCATTACAAATGTGTGTGTAATGTTGCAAATAAAATAATCTTTCAGTTGCTCGCAAAGTTTTGCTGCTGGCTTTAATGAAGTTTAGTCCAAATTCATGTAAGGTTAGCAAAATTATTTAAGGCAGTTACACAGTTCCAAGTGACCATTTATTGGAGGATTGCAAAAAAGGGGAAATCTCAAAGCTACATATAGCTAGTGTACCCAATATTTAGCTTTATGTTGACATAACGTACCTGATTACAAATGCAAATCTGGAGATTTACTTTGCAATCTGAGATTTTCTTGTTGCAATAGTCTTATGGCAATATCATGGCTCTGAAAGAGAACGTGTGTTGGGGGAAAGGGGAATAAAGTGGTTTCATTCACCTCTCTTAACTGCCTGTCTTAAGTTGATGATATTCAGTAAAGGTTGATCGTAAACTAGGGCTTTCTTCCACAGGACCTTGCAATGGGAGCAAATGCAGAAGGGGAACCACTGAAAGATGCCATGAAGAGCATTGTTCCTGTGCTCTTAGATAGTGACATTGATGCCTTTGACAAAATCCGCATCATACTGCTGTTCATATTTCACAAGAAGAAGGGTAAGAAGATCTCAAAACATTTTAAATCTTTTTAAGTCCTAATCTTGTTACATTGAAGAGAAGCTTTATTTGTCGTTACTTATTTATAGCAAACAGTGTTTTCATTGCCTGGTTGTCTATTCAGGCATTGGGGAGGAGAACCTTGCCAAGCTCATCCAGCATGCAAATATTCAGGCCGACAGCAACATTATTTACAACCTGCAGAACCTAGGCTGTAATATTATAGCTGGGGTAAGTTTGGCTACAGTCTCATGCTGTGGAACTGAGAATTTTATAAAACCTAAAAAAAAAACCCTGAATATTTGACATACATTGTTTTTCAGGGTCGCAATTCTGGGAAAACACTGCCAGATCGTAAGCAGCGTACAGAAAGCACATACCAGCTTTCCAGGTGGACACCCACTGTCAAGGACATCATGGAGGTATTAAGCCCTAAGTGAGGTTTCAGATGTCACTGGCAGACCTGCTCACCTTTGCTCACAACACAGCTTTTATAACATCTGTTTCTGGATCACAGAATGCCATAGAAGACAAACTGGACAAAAAGCTGTGGCCATTCATCGCTGAACCAGCACCCATCAACACAACTCAGACTGCAGTCAGGTCGGGCGGTGCTCTCCCTCTATCTGAGAAATAAATAAATATATATATAGATAGATGGGTAGATCTCTTTCCAAAACAGTTTGTATTTAGCAACAAGTGGGGTAAATGACAGATAATCTTATAAAATAAAACCTTTTATCCCCTTAAAACCTTTTAAATGAATCAGAGCCGAGCTTTTGACAAAGTGAAGTAGAGTTTAAAGGGTAAATTTCAGTCATTTTTGAATACTCTATAATCCCTAGGGAATTCCCATCATAATGATGGTGCTAATACTGACCACGCTTGTAGATCTAGATTTACTCATAATCTGTGGAGTGTTCCGGTACTTTTCTACTTTTTAAGCAAAATGCAGAATTAAAATGGAGAAGTTGATAATAATATAGACTGGCTATAACCCCCCCCCCCCCCCCCCCCAAAAAAAAAAAAAAAAACCCCAACAAAACAAAAAAAAACCCAACCAACCAAACAAAAAAACTCAGGAGTTTCTGTTAGTATTTTCACATTCATACTTATTCATCAGGGTCAATTTCCTGACAACACGGTATGAAAATGAGCCATTGTATGACAATTGTATTAATTATTGTTTGAAATAATAAATGTCAGAAAATCAATAAATAGCTGAAAGGGAGCTGTAGTTTTAGTAATAGTTTTATGTTTCTCAATCATTTTCGAAATTCTTTTACAGCAGTGCACGTTTTGGACACTGGCACAAAAATAAGTCTCCAACGGAGTATCGGTCTGGCCCTCGTCTCATTGTTTTTGTGATTGGTGGGGTGTCATACTCTGAGATGCGTTGTGCTTATGAAGTGACTCGAGCCACAGATGGGAAATGGGAAGTCCTGATTGGTAAGCAATTGCTAATTAAGAAGTTATGACTGATGAACCTGACTGTTGAACTGCTATTTAAATATTGTTGTTTTTTGTTGTTGTTTTTTTCCTTGACAGGATCATCTCACATCCTAACTCCAACCAGCTTCCTCAATGACTTGAAGACTCTGGACAAAGATACTAATCCTGATCCGTAATCCCCAAGTCGGGACAGCAATACTGCAGTAGGAGTCTGGTTGTTCCTTTAAACTGATGTCTTTCTGTTGTCCTGTTTAGCTTCTCTAACATCTCTGATGTGAAATCTTAGATGTAGTCATGTAAGAAAGCAGTTGTGACTATTCTATTATAGTGTGCTCTTTTGTTGTTAGTTGGGTTCTGTATACTGCTGTGATTGAAATTGTATTTAAGTAATAAATGAAACAATATTAATATTTTCATTATTCTATTCATATTTAAATTCTTAATTTTGTTGTAATTGACTTGCTTAGTTATTTAGTCAGAAATTCCAAAAATTGTCACAAAGAAAGAGCAGCTCTCACCTCATAGAAATCTCTTAATTCAAGTATATTGTAGTTGCACACAATTGAAGGACATATTGTATATAGATTTAAAAGTAGATTAAAATTATTTTTTTTGGTAACTCTCTCCCTCAACCCTCTTCTTGAAATATTCATCTCAGTAATAATGTCAGAACTGCTGTGTTATGACCGTTGCACATTTACTAGATACTTTAATATATTGCTGGGCGCTAGAGCAGTGGGTGCTTGTTTATTTGTTGATGGAAATGAGCAATAAAATAAAAAAATATATATTGAATTTAATTTGTCTTTTTTTCTTTTCTATAGGACCTTTTAGTATGCTTCAATATGCATAATATTTTCATTTTGTTAAAAAAATTATAGTTTGTTCATATTATGCTAAAAAGTTTGCTAGTATTCTCCATATAGGCAAATTTTAACTTTATTTTTTCAAAAACTGCTGCTGTTCTGTATAGGCCTCAACCCCCTAAGCCAGCTCATCACTAAGAGCGGATACATGATTAAGGTGTGGAGTGATCATTAACAACATGTACATGGGTGACATTAATCTGTATGCTAGGAATAAGTGAGACATCAATTTACTGATCCAACTCACCAGATCCACAGCAAGGATATCAGGATGTCATTTTGACTATATAAGTGTGATCGAAGGGTCACAAAGAGAGGAAAGGTGATCCACACTGGAAGGGGTGGAATTTCCAGAAGACAGAGTAGCAGAGTAGTCCTTACCGGTCATTAGATACCCAGGTGGAATAATAAGCAGGCTTCAGGATGAGATAGATGTCACTGATGTCAACTCATAAAAACTCCTCATAATGAGAGGTCCCCACCCAAAGTCCAGCACCCTTGGGGTCTGTGGCCAACAGGAAGTAGGAGAGTGAGGTTAGTGAGTGTTGGAATGGCATTCCAGGATGAAACAAAGAACAGTTTGCACTGACAGAGTGCTTTGGATATATATTCTGGTAAACAGTTCGACGTCATCCATGTGGAAGAGATGGTAGATGATTGCTCCATTCCGTAGTCTGTATCCATATCCATGTTAATGATCTGCCTGAGGGGGTTCAGACCTATGCAGAACAGAAATTCCACACTTGATGGTGACTTGTAGAATTGGCTGCAAGTGTTGTTCTCTAGTGTTGATTGCTAATTCCCCATCAAATTCATGATGAAGGCTCTTGGGGTCCTGATGATCTGATATTTTAGACATTCTAAGATTCATCTATGGGGCATTGAGTCATAGGCTTCCTTGTACTTAATCTGGACAGTGCACAGGTTGGTCAGTATGGTTTTATGGTCTCGAAATACTGCTCTAGGTAGCAGTAGCTGGTGTTTTGACACTGGTGTTTTCTGGGATTTCATGTATTGGGCCATGTTCCTCTTCATTTTAGCTGTTATGATGACTGACTGGAGCTTCCATGTTGTACTGAGGCAGGTTACTGGTCTGCAGGTAGACTGGGGACTAGTCCCTTCTGGGGATCGTACACCTTTGATGGTATACATTTTTTTTTTTTTAACCAAAGCTGCGAGTCTTTTCTTGGCAGTTTCTGAGGCCTAAAGGTATGGGCAGCTTACAGTATTTCTGAGGAGGGTGGAGATGATGACACTTCCCACTGACCTGAAGTCCTGGCTCCCCCTTCCTGTATCAATTGTGTTATACCACATAAATCTCTAGTTCTGATAGCAGTTGCTTCTTTCGCGTGTTGGAAATCTGAGCTACTAGTTGTTTCATTGTCAGGTCCCACATGCTCCTCATGTAACCCCTTGCCTTGGGATTACAGTCATAGTACCATTCTAGGATTCCCGTTTGTCTATCTGCTGCCTGCCTGCTTGCTTGCTCTATGTGAAGTGAAAGTGGGGCCTTTAAAATGTAAACATGAACCTTAAGTAAAGTGTTAGGTCAGAAAGGAGAGCATGCGCACCTACCACGAAAAAAAGATCATCCCTCTGAGGATTATGTTTTCATCTGGGATTACAGATGGCAATATGAAGAACAGGGCAGACGCTGAGGTCTTAATGGCAATAGGTTTATACTAAGGACTAAACTATTAAAACCGTTCTTCCACTTCATATCCAGTACACACTGAGAGAAGCATCATTCGGTATCATTTCATTTATGCATAGTTCATCTTTTATAGAAGTTTTTTGTAACACTTTGCTTGCATCTAGTTTTCATTTGGGGTTTATATATATTTTTTCAGTTATTTTTTGATGGCAGCTGCTGGGATGGATTCAAAATCTAAACCCTCTGATGCTGTGCTGGTAAGATGTCAGTGCAAAACTGATTTTTATGTTCTTGTTCTAATTATATAGGGAGGACTATATTCTTTAGATTTTAGAAATATATTAATTCTTCTAATTAGTTAAAAAAAATGTGTGTTATCATTTTTAGTTCTTCATAATAGATACATGTATTGATGTAATACACTATAATTAATTTGTTTTTAATGTTCAATGTTAGCTTTACAGAACCTTTATTGTGATATTGGAAAAAGATTAGCCATTAGGATGAATTATCTTTACATTAAGATTCACATTTGACCTTGAGTCAAGATGGTCTGAAAAAACTATTCATATTGAGAAACTATAATGTTGACAGTTCAAACAATTTTAACAATCTCTATACTGAATAGGAATCCCCAGAACTAGAGCAGATTCTGGACATAATGAGTTACTCACAGCGTGGACGAATGGACGGACAGTGTTGCACTCTAAGTCCTGCTAAAATAGAGACGACATCTGCAGGTTGGAATAGTGAAAATACCACAGTATAGTATACATCTCCCTTTTTTGGCCTGATTATTGATTGTTTCATTCTTGCTTCCCACAGGGTCAAAAGATGAGAGATCATCCCATACTTCAGATAATAAACAGGGACAATATGTCAACTCGCATTTATCGTTGCCTGGATTTAATTACCAAGTACTAGACTTATGACTATAATATGATGAGGGATACACTGTACAAGTAAAACTGATGATTAAATTACGTCAGCTCTCAATTATTACCTGTTTTCTCAGGAAAGTGGACGTAATGATCATCATGTCTCTGCACCTCATATCTCAGTGACTGAGAGTACTCCAGATAGAAACAGGAAGCATCTGTCAGTTCCAGTTGACCAATTACAGATTCCTTCTCAACGCGAACGCTCAAATTCTATAAAGGTCTGTTAATGTGTTAACAAGTTATAACAGTGTTATTCTGATAGCTGTAACAATTAGATTTGTTGATGTTGACTTGTTTAATAATTGTTATCACATATACATCACCCCATTCATTGAAGCTTTATCATGCTGTTTTAACCCAAAAAGTCAGAATCATCTGCTGAACAGCAAAAGTTCATGGAGATGATTGCCTATGGACAGCGTGGACGCATGGAGGACCAGTGCTGCTCATTGGATCCAAGCAAGAGTGCTCCTTGCACACCCAGATACACAGAGAAAACAACTGTTGCAAGTATGTTAAACATGGCTGAAAATTCAATTTCTTGCCATTTTAATAAATTGCATTCATCATTTTAAACTTCCTTTATGAATCTGACTGTTTCAGGTTCTGACAGATTAAATATTTATATTGAAAATTTGCTGTATTTGACCAGTGACAGATCCTGAAATGTTCTTCAATCTGTTGGCCGACACTCAGAGCCGACGGCTCGATGACCAGCGAGTGTCGCTTCCATCATTACCAGGCTTACAAAATGAAAAGGACACTGCTATGGGAGATTCAAGCTACTTGTGTTACATGGTCTCTAAAGTTCAAGTAAGGAATTTTCTTTGTTCTCTTTTAATACAAAGTATCAAAATGCTGCATGGAACTTGACTGCTTGAAATGATGATATTAACTGCTTTGAGTCTGTTTTAACAGGAATGCCACATTAAAACATTTGAGGCAGATTTTCCACAGCTGTCAACTACAAGTGTAGCTTTTTAGTTAAGAGTTTAATAACCATATTATTTTATGTATTTATAGTCAACGTATTGATCAAAAATGCTGACCTAATCTATTTTCAGGGCTCCAGAATGGATGATCAAAGGTGTTCATTACCTCAAATCCTACCCCCAGAGACACCGTGTTCATCAAACAAGGATCAGTCTGAATCCGGTTTAAACCCATTACGCTCAGCCTCCTTCAGCTCCAGTTCAGACATAAAGCAACTAAAAAGTGAGGATAAAAATCCTCAAAAACAGGTATATCCGCGCTTTCAGTTTTAGCCCCCCAAAAGAAATTGTAAACGGCATCGACACTATACAATGAGGTTTTAGATCACCCCATTTCTTTTTGCATGTGTTATATTTTTGTATTATTCATTCACTTAACAAAATTCACATTATCCCATCTAGTTCTTGACTCCAGCTGAACAGGAAGATCTTTTTACCTTAATTAGTAATTCCCACCATGGCCGGATGGATGAACAGCGATGTGTCCTAAATGCTACACCCCAGTCCACACCTAAGCACCATTTCAGTCAAAGTGAAATCCCCCAAGGTCAGAAAACAGGAAATTTTCCCTTTGTTTCTTTTTTTGCATTTGATATTTTTTCTAAATTGTTTTGTACGTTGATATATAACAGCGCATACATTTCTCAATGAAGCTAACAAGTATTTTATTTTTCTCTAACATCCAATGCCCAGATTCTGATAATTTCTTCAGCTTACTGGCCAACTCACAGGGCCGACGGCTGGACGACCAGAGAGTGTCTCTTCCTTCACTACCTGGAATACAGAATGGAGGTACCACATTAACACCCACTGCTGCTGAGACGGATGCAAGCTACTTGTGTTATCTGGTTTCCAAAGTCCAGGTTGGCCCTATATGTAACATTGCGAAAAGTTATTCACAGCTTTTGTTTCTTTGTTAAGTATCCACGAAGTTTTTGCACATATAGATTTATCAGTTTTTCTTTAATCAAACTTTTTACCCACAGGGCTCAAGGATGGATGAACAGAGATGTTCTGCACCCCACATCTTCCAGAATCTGGGTACCCCATCAGCTCAGCACACATCTGGTAAACCTCCTTGGAGGTCTGCCTCATTAAACCGTGACAAAACTGAACAGCGTGGGCAGGTCAATGTTCATACCACATATCACTCAACATTGTTTTACCTATACTTTTTCTGCCCTGTAATTTTATATTTCTTAAGCAAGCCACAAAAACTATATAGTGATTGACTAGAACTTTTATTATCTAGTCTTTTAAAGAAATAACATAGCTGTATTGATTGCTTAATGGCAGCCTCTGTTTGCTATGTCTTTTTGAGAGTTGTCCCATTTCTTATGACATATCTTTCTGTAAAAAAATTTAGGGAATATCCGCAGCTGAGGAGGAGCAGTTCCTTAAAATGATAAGTCGAATACAAAGTGGACGCATGGAAGAGCAACGCTGCTTTTTACAACCCAGCAGAAGCACACCTTCCTCACCTACACACAATGGCAGTGCTTTGAATAAAGTACCCATAGGTCAGAAAAATGCACAGTGCACTTGAATATGAGTATTTTGTCTCTGAAATGTCAAGAATAATTATTTCTCCATTATAGGTGCAGAAGCAGAGGCGTTCTTCAAAATCATCACCTCCAGTCAGTCGCGACGACTAGATGATCAGCGCGTTGCACTTCCTACCTTGCCAGGGATAAGTGGAAATTCTGAAGGAAAAGTAGACATACAACGACATACAACAGCTGAAATCCCAGTAAGTTACACAACATCTAAATTATTGGTACTGTGAAAATTAAGAAAAGTGTAATAAATGTGGTTTTATTTATATATATATATATATATATATATATATATTTTTTTAACTCTATATTTTTTTTTTAAACTTTTTTTAACTCTATGCACTCCCACAGAAGTTAAGTGCATGCAGGACACCATGTCTCTCTCTCTCTCAGTTTATCATACTTAGAGACCCATCATATCCAACCATGTAAATGACCATTATGTAGACCTTAGGCTATCTCTCGTAACCTTTGGCTTGTCTACAGTACTGTAACTAGATAATCATGACCAAAATTTCTTTCATGGCTCTAAATTTAGTTACCACTCTGTCAAAAACCTCAATTAAGAGTGTTTTTCCACCATTCTACTGCTGATTATATTTTAATAAATTGCAACTGATCATTTGTTTTTCTGCAATACACTTGCCAGTTTAACGGTCTCTCATCATTTCTGTTCTGTAAGGTCTCTCCACTACCACAGATCACAGTGGCTAAATGTACACCTACAACTTCAAAAAAGTGTCCTACACCTGCCTCACAACCTCAAATGGCATATGGAAAGCCTGGTTCCACTGAGGCCTTACCCAAATCTGCTTCACTTATTCCCAAGGGAGAATTTAAGAAGAAGTCTAATTTCCCAGCTAAGGTAAATTCTTCACTTTTCCATTTTTTCAGTACATTCAAGTTTGTAGACAAATATATAACAAGTAATGTAAACACACATTAGTAGAGTATAACAATTTACCAGTATTTTTATTCTCTAAAATATTATATGTTTCTGTATGGGACAAACGGATTCTCCTTTTTGAAAGCCTCCTGAATTAGAAACACAAAGGCTGATATCCTAGTAAATGAAAAAACAGAACAAAACAAAAAAAGCTGATAAGAGATTCTGTAACACTGTTTGAGTTCAGTGACTTGTGACATGTTACAGGTAACAGTGAGTGTATCTGTGAGCTTCACACCTCAGGAGGTAAGTTGTAAGATAACTTATTACCCAAAGGTACTGCCATAATAAAAGAAGTGCCTTCAGTACTACTCTTTTCTTCTCTGGAAAATGAACAGAAGAATGCCAATGAGCCAGATGCATTTCCAGATGTCTATCTAACTCTTGGAGCCCCAGGGGACAACCTTGTGATACCTCTGAGTCCAGTATGTGGCAGGCCCTTGTCCTTTGACTTAAACCTTGTTATGAAGGAAGATGTTAAGTTCAGGCATTGCTCTCCAAGCCATTCCAGTCCCAGAAAAAACAACTCCAGGCCACCATCTCCCAACAAAGGTGCGACTGGTAAAGCACATCCTACATGCTCACATGAACAGGGGAAGCTTGTGACCAGCCACATCAGTGCAGATGTAAACTCCTTCTCCCCAACTGAAAAGACTCACCTGGAGAAAGGAATTGCTCAAGAAGGACAAAAGGGGAAAGGAGAACTTGGAAAGGTGAGGGAAAAGGCACAGCATGGAAAAGGAAAGGGCGCTGTAAAGAAAGACATGAAGAAGAATGGCAAATAATGTACTTGTAAATTATGGGATTTAAATGTAAAAAAAATAAGTAGCAAAAAAATTGTATTTGTATTGCTAAAAGCTCTTATTAGAAATTATGTTGATTCTGCTTTATAGGGTCATTTGAAGGATAGTCCTTTGCTAGCTAAATTTACAGTACATATTGTGTCTATTGTTTTCAGTTTTGCAAATTTTCTAAATGTAAATACACTGTAAGGAATTCTATTCTTTCTGTCAATTATAATTGTAATCTTGAATTAAAACCTTTGGTCTGTTAAACTCTGTGAAGATGTGACAAAAACCAAACCAAAACAAACATGAAAAAAAAAACCCAACAGCAATAAATGGGGAATCATTTCCTTTGGTCTGAATTCTGAACTTTGACATCTGCATTTAGCATTGGAGCATATGGGTCGTCTACTCCACCTACAGAGCTGAAAACATGACCATATGAAGTAGAACATGCTAAGCAATAAAAAGAAAACATAATACTTTGGAAATTTTCACCATTTATTGAGGATTTACAGAGTAAGTTGTTCATATTGTATGAACTCTTAAATGCTGCAACTAGATTGCATTTCCTATTCAGCCGAGTCACTTCCCTGAAAGCAAGAGAGAGATACAGACCATAGAGTTAATGCTTATAGGGATATACTGCAGTAGAAATAAAATAACAAAAAGTATTGCAAATGAAATACCACCTTTCCGACATCACGGCTCTTGGCTCTCAACTTGTTGACCTGGGACTCAGCAATGTCAGCACGCTCCTGAGCTTCCTCCAGCTCATGCTGGACCTTCCTGAGCCTGGACATGTGAGTGTTTGCCTGCTCCTCCTGTAAAGGATTTACAAAAATACTGACTTAGTTATAGGGGAGTCAATGAACCAAGCTGAAGCAGATTTGGCATATAATTGTAGTTGACTTACAGCCTCCTCAGACTGTCTCTTGTAAGCCTTGACTTTGAGCTGCAGCTTGTCCACCAGATCCTGAAGTCTGGTCACATTCTTCTTGTCTTCCTCAGTCTACACAAAATACAGCTGTTACTTTAGAGGTATTTGAGAAGAGACAAAGGGCACGTTTGCTTGTTGTTGGCAAAAGAAGACTTACCTGATAAGTGAGCTCTTTCACTCTCCTCTCATATTTACGGACTCCTTTAACAGCATCAACACCACGTCTCTGCTCAGCTTCAAGTTCAGCTTCCAGTTCACGGACCTTTAATGCCATGATAAAGAATTAACTTTGCTTCAAATATAAAGAAAAACTTAAATTCATATAATTTAATCAAAATATATTTTATGTATATAAGCATGCAATATACACTTCATACCCTGGACTCCAGTTTCTGGAGCTGCTTCTTGCCACCCTTCATGGCGAGGCTCTCTGCCTCATCCAGACGGTGCTGCAGGTCCTTGACTGTGACCTCCAGGTTCTTCTTCATCCTCTCCAGGTGAGCACTGGTGTCCTGCTCCTTCTTCAGCTCCTCAGCCATCATGGCAGCCTAAAATAATTTTCTCCATTTAATTAATCTATTTAAAAATCTATGGTAAGCTTTTATTATCACTGAAAGAATGTGAAGTGTTTAATAGAACAGATTACTTAGAGAGTTAAACTCACGTCAGTGATGGCTTTTTTTGCTTTCTCCTCAGCATTTCTTGCTTCCTGCACAGCATCATCCACCTCACTCTGGATCTGCACAAAATCGGCTTCGAGCTTCTTTTTCGTGTTCAGAAGACTGGTGTTCTAAAGGTTTAGGAAAGATTATATGATATAAATATGTTGTAAGTTCACATACTAGATATTTACAGTAAATTTACAATGTATTTCCTAATTAAAATTACATTAGGTTAAATGTTTCTTAACATTATAAACAAACCTGAGAGTGAAGCAGTCCGACACGCTCGCTAGCATCAACCAACTCCTGCTCAGCTACTTTGCGTCCTCTCTCTGTCTGCTCCAGAGCGGCTCTCAGCTCCTCAATCTCAGCCACCATCAGACCATTTCTGCGCTCCACCATGGCGACCTGCTCCTTCATGTCTTCCTGTCCTCTGAGAGCTTCATCAAGGTGCAGTTGGGCATCCTGATGAAATAAATCAATCAATAAATAAGTACCTATTCTGTTTCTTTAACAAATGATCAGGAAAAAAGGTCACCTTGAGCTGTCCTTGGACATTCCTCAGTTGTTTCTGGGCCTCAGCAGCCTGTCTGTTGGCATGGCTCAGCTGAATCTCCATCTCATTCAGGTCTCCCTCCATCTTCTTCTTGACTCTCAGGGCATCATTCCTGCTCCTGACCTCAGCATCAAGAGTGCTCTGCATGGAGTCAATCACCCTCTGGCTGTTCCTCTTGATCTGCTCCATCTCCTCGTCCTTCTCTGACAGCTTCCTGTCAATCTCACTTTTGACTTGGTTCAGCTCAAGCTGAACACGAAGAATCTTGGATTCTTCGTGTTCCAGAGTGCCCTGCGAGATAAGTCAGATAAGTAACAAATACCAAGTAGAATCATCAAAATAAATAATATTGATATAAAAAATATTAAACCTCTGCTTCTTCAAGGGCAGTCTGAATCTCAGCCTTTTCACTTTCTACAGTCTTCTTGGCTTTTTCCAGCTCATGGATGCTCTTTCCAGTCTCACCAATCTGCTCAGTCAGATCTGAGATCTCCTCTAAAGTAGAAAAATTAACCAAACTGTTGTTATTATCTTAGATCCAGATCTATATTCTTTGACATTTTTTGTCAAGTTATGGGTGCATACGCTGCAGGTTCTTGTTCTCTCTCTTCATGGTCTCAAGATGATCCAGAGCCTCTTCATATGAGTTCTTCATCTTGAACAACTCAGTGCTGAGAGAACGAGCCTCCTTTTGGGCTCCTTCCAGCTCTGCCTGGCTCTCCTCATACTTCTGCTTCCATTCTGCCAGGACCTAGGTTTATATAGGTTATTCAGTTAGTTGTCATTATGGGTGTATTCCTCTTGTTAGTATATTGGTTATGTTTAAACTTTACTTTATCAAAGTTCCTCTGCTTCTTGTCAAGGTTGGCAGCCAGAGCATTAGCTCTCTCCACATCAATCATGAGGTCCTCCACCTCACCCTGCAGCCTCTGCTTGGTCTTCTCCAGTGAGGCACACTTGGAGTTCACAGCCTCAATGGATTCCTCAGCCTCCTGCAGGCGCTGGGCAAGCTTTTTCCTGCAATTTGCAAAAATTTGCTTGTATTAATTCCATTATGTATTAAAAGTAATACAGTATTACATTTTTATTCACAAAAGAGAAGAAAGCATTTATGTACTTGGCCTCCTCCAGCTCCTCAGTGCGCTGGATGGCATCAGTCTCATATTTGGATCGCCACTGAGCCACCTCACTGTTGGCCTTGGACATTCCTCGCTGCAGCTCAGCCTTGGCCTCCTGCTCCTCCTCAAACTGCTCTCTGAGCAGATCACAGTCATGACGTGCTGACTGAACAGCATGAGCCAGGGCGTTCTTGGCCTGGATTTTAATAATAATACATTTTAAATAATAATAAATGTCTTTGCTTTTCTTTTATCTCTCAGAGAGCATGTTGACAAAGTAATGTAAAGTTATTCTAAATCTGAGATATAGGTTGTGAGATATAGTTAATGTGAGATAAGTTGACATTAAGTAACTTGCATTTATTCTTGTTTTCACTTGCAGATCCATGGTTCATCAATGTTCTTTTACAATGTATGTAATGCTGAATATAATACTTCTTTAATATGACATCTGGTACCTTCACTTCCTCCTCAGTATGTCGCTTAAGCTCTTCAATCTGTTGAGTGTAAGCCTGTTTGCCTCTGGTAAGCTGGGAAATAAGAGCTTCCTTTTCCTCAAGCTGACGAGAAAATTCACCTGGGCAAAACAGATTAAAGAAAAATACTTTTCATAACTGAAAAATCACCATGTATTTTAAACACAAACAATATCATCTGTTTGAAACTTAAATTGTTTCTGAACTTAAAACGGCTACTAAATAAAATACAGTTACATACTTCATATCTTTGGATACACACCATTCTCAGTTTGGAGTCTTGCCCTCTGTGCACTCATGTCGTTCAGCTGGCGAACATTCTCATCATTTTTGGACTTGAGCTCACTTAACTGGTCTTCAAGAGTTCGGCACATTTTCTCCAGATTGCCCTATAAATTGCACATAATTGTCATGACTCAAATCCAGGAAAGATATAACTGTTGCGCTCTTTCATTGTTTAGATAGCCGCTTTTTCTCAAAATTGCATACCTTTGCTTTGGCAACAGCCTCCATATTGCTGGAGAGATCATCAATCTCCATCTTGTACTCGCTCTTCTCTTTCTCCAGCTTCTGTTTGACACGCTGGAGGTTGTCGATCTGCTCTCCGAGCTCTGCTACAGTGTCAGCCTGCTTCTTACGGAGAGCTGCTGCAGTAGCTTCATGCTGCAGAGTTGATTCCTCAAGATCACGACGCAGTTTCTGGAACTCAGCCTCTCGCTTCTTGTTCATCTCAATCTGAGCAGCTGTTGCTCCACCAGCTTCCTCGAGCCTCTCACTGATCTCTTCAAGCTCCCTGGAGAGGTCGGCTCTCTGCTTCTCTACCTTAGCCCGAGCTGCCCTCTCAGCCTCAATCTCCTCTTCTAGCTCTTCAATACGAGCCTTTAGGGTAATAACACCACAAAGACTTACTGAGTTGACATGTTTTAGTTTTACTGAACATAATATTCACCTAAAATAATGGTACCTGGAGTTCTTTGATCTTCTTCTGGAGCTGAGTACCAAGAGACTGCTCATCCTCAATCTTGCCAAGAAGCTGACTGATTTCAAAGTCCTTCCTGTAAGTGGAGAAGACAAAGAAATGACTCTGACAGCTCTGTGGCTCTTCTGAATGCACGTGTAGGAACTTTATCAGTGACTGTTTTTTACTTTTTGATTTTCTCATCAGACTGCTGCTTGTCATTCTCCAGATCCATTATGGATTCCTGGGCCAGTTTCAAATCTCCCTCCAGCTTCCTCTTGGCTCTCTCCAGGTCCATGCGGAGCTTCTTCTCTTGCTCCAGGGACCCCTCAAGCTATTAAAAAATGTTACATATTTTTTTACAACTGAATAATTCATAATAATATAAAAATAAGAAATCTCCTTTTTTAAAAAGATGATGTTTTCTTACATCATCAACTTGCTGTTCCAGTTTTGTCTTGGCTTTGGTCAGAGTGTTGACTTTGTCTTCCTCTGCCTGGAGATCATCCAGTGTTTGTTGATGGGCCTCTTGTAAGGCTTTCTTCTCCTTGGTTAACTTGGCAATTGACTCATCTTGAGATGCCATCTCCTCTGTCAGGTTTTTCACCTGACATAAATAATAATTGGGAATTTCATGGGAATTTCCCATGAAAGTTAATAAATTAACATGGCAAAATAAGACATTACAGCATATAAACATATTATGTGTATGTATTTTGGTGAAAACTACAATCACTATGAACTGAACCTTGTTTTCTGTGGCATGTTTCTCCTTCT